TTTTCCGGGAGTTAAAAAGTGGACTGTGCTGTGTGGAAAAAAAGGGAAAAAAAAAAGAAAGGGTGGGGGCTTAGCTCACATACGATACCGCTCTTCAGGTTGTTTCCTGGACGACCCAAAAGGACCTTTTCCTGGACTTGAGGCTTCTTGGGTGCCATTTTATTGGATTTTTTCTTCTTGCTTGAGTAGAAGCGACAGAAGAGAGGTGGGAGGTGGGGGGAAGTCGAAAGGCGGAAGCGGGAACAAGGATGGAACGCGCCAAATGCAGGACCAGCTGCGGATCGATCGACGATACGAAGAAAGAAGATAGAGGAAGTGGAAGACGTGATTGCGGTTGCCCACAGCAATTGCGGGCAATGTCAATTTGTAAAAGGAGAGTAAATGAATGCGTGTTTAGCTATGGAAAAAAACAATGTCGACGAGGTTCGCGCCAGATAACTTCAAATTTTCTGCCTGCAGAGCTGCCACCGCCCACGTGAAAGTCAAGCCCTGACGACGTCACTGCATTCACGTACGTAATACTGTGTATCGGCCCGTGGACCTCGGGAGCCCTAGAGGGTTATTAGGGCCTAGTTGGTCCTACAAGATCAGACCATAGTAAGATGGGAACAGGTTGACTTGATTAAGAACGACCCCAAAAGAGAACCTATGATACAAATACACCATGAAAATCAGATATATCATCTCCAATCTCGCCTCAGCAGAGATAAATAATGCAAACCCTGTAAGGTGACCCAGCCCGAACTTATTGAACGCCAGCAAAAACAGAAGAACAGGTATAGGTAGCAAGAGAGAAACCATCATTAAAGATCCATTGCATCGCCATGCTCCGATGTAGTGTCAACCATATCCAGCAGCTTGGCATAGGGCACTGTCACACGTTGAAGGTCGCGGTGTTTGCCTAGATGAACCTTCTTTAGTAATTGAATCGTTGAGAAGAAGAAAAGCACAGAGACCAAAAACATACCGAGTGCTAGAATCACCTCCTTCAACAATGTTTCCCGTGGCCAGCCACACAGATCATCAGATCCTTCGCGCCAGTTACGGCCTTCGCGCTCATTGGCCTGCAATTTCAGGACTCCCTCGCTGGCATCGTCTTCATCCTCGAAAAGACCGCCAATGAGACCTTTCAGTAGTTCCTCGACCTTCAGTTTCAGACCCTCGGCGCCGATGCGCTTGGCGTACATGGATAAGTATAACCGGAACTCTTCCTTGGCACCCAGGGACAGAGCAGCAGCGAGACGGTTCTCGAGATGAGCAATAGATACGCTGGACTCGAAAGTCTCATACCCTTCGCGTGACAACAAAACCTTGATGAGACGCTGGAGGAAGTATGCCCTTCCGCGAAGGAGGGTCTCATTCGTGGTGTTTCGCTCCAACCAAGGAATGATGCCGGCTGCGACAGCTGCCTTAGCATCCTTGTTATCTTGCTGTGCGTCCGTGGCCTGCAAGTTGCTCACGGGTGCGTCTGTGGTGTTCCAGTACTGACTGCCGACGGCCCACCAGGCTTCCGAGATGCGCTGCCACGTGAACATGGATGGGGAATAGGAGTATCCTTCGCCGTTAGACAAGGAAACGACGACTCGGCCCTCCGAATTAATGCGTGCGTCTGTTACTGCGGGAGCAGCGGTGGGGTTCGCGCCCATAGTATGGATTGCAGCATCCAAGACAGGCTGGAGGGAGACTGGTGGGTGAGGAGATGACAAGTGCTTCACATTCCAGACATAGCACATGCCCACAGAGGATATGCACAGGATCCACGGTCCATTGCACTCCAAGATGACAGGCTGTGCCTCGAGAACAAGCGCACTTACCAGACGACGACCTGCCGGTGTCCAAAGATAGATTGATCCATCCTCACAGCCAGCTGCCCACATGCTCTGATTACCAGTCACAAGCAGGACAGTCCGCGGTAAAAAATCTTGCCACAATGGCTGATCTCCGCGGAACAATGTCAGACGTACTGGCTCGCGGTCCACAGCACGACCGGTCAGACTTGCTGGTGATGGGTTCCGAGCTTCGAAAACCACGTCCACTCGACTCTTGGTAGAGCCCGAGTCTGTACCAGGGGCAGGTTGCTCCGTCGGTTTCCCGCTCGAATCTATCGCGCGGAGAATCTGGCTGCGAATTTTGGGGACTGCCAGACGAAGTTGGCTCACCGACATGCAAGGATTAGTGACTGCGGGGCGAATGAACTCTGGAGTCGGCTGTTGACCGGTCGTGGCAGATTGAACTTGAGCTGGTAGAAGGCCGTCGGGGGTGTTGGCCATGATGGGAGTTGCACCGTTCTGACTGGCAAGTGTCACACGCTTTTCTACACTGGCATCTTCGTCACCTTCTATTTGGGCCAGCTTGCGCTTGTTTCCAAGAAGAAGAGCAGTCAGGCCACCCTTCGGTAGACCATCGAAGGGTTTTGACAGGTCAACGATGGTGGACGGGGCGTCAGCCTTGACCTGGTTGCTGACAGATGCCATCAAACGGCTTTGCGGGAGGGACGACTCGCCGGCCCCAGCTCCGGAGACTAGTAATGGAGCGATACGCTTTTTGCCCTCTTTGGTGTATGTTGGACGCTGCTTAAGTCTTTCCAGCTTGGCTTTGTAAGGGTCAGGCTTCTCTGATTCTGTGGCGGCAGGTGTCGCAGGAGTTCCATTCGTCTGGGCCATCGTAACCTCGGGAGCTGGCGAAGGGCCCCGAGCAGGGGTGGTCCCATTTGATGGCTGCGGGGCTTTGTCTCCATTCGTAGTAGGTTCAGCGCCATCGCCCATCAGTGCACCCATTCTCCCTTCGACGTGCTTGATCTCGCCAGCCTTGCTCTTTTCCTCTAGCAACAAGCTGTCAGTGGTCTCTGTGATACCGGCGCCTTTTCGATTAGTTCCAAACTTGGTGAGTGATTTCTCATTCTCTTCCATTTCCGTGGCCCAGCCCAGCTCGCCATCTTCAAACCTGACAGCCACAATTGTGCCATCCAGAGCAGTAGCAAAGAGACATTTTCCATCAGGGGTCCATGCCAGGTCCGAAATAGCTTTAGCAGCCATTTCCTGTGCAACGACAATCGGTCGTGCGTTGCTCGTAATCCAGACACTAAGGGATTTGTCTCCACCAGCGCAAGCAATGACGGTAATGTGGTGTTGGGGTACAGGCTGCCCATCGGCTTGCTTCTTATTGGGCGGCTCGGTTGCATAAAGTCGTGGGGAGAACGAACAAACCTCAACAGGTGCCTCATGTCCAATCAAATTGATATCACCGTCCCATGATCCACGGTTGATAATGGCCACGGAGCTCACAGGACCGTTCACAGCGTTTGCAGCTGCGATGTGCATCCCATCAGGCGACCAGGAGCAACGACGAAAATAGGCTGTCAAAGGAGAATTGGCGAATGGGGCAGTGATTGTTTGCTCAAGGACGAAATTGTTCATATGGTCGTGAGCCGAAGAATTAGGGGCAGGAGAGGTGAATCGGAAGATGCGGACGGTCCGGTCATCACTAGCAGTTGCGAAATATTTGTTTGCCGGATCAAAAGTGATGCCTTTAACGTGACTCTGGTGGATCGCTATCGTCTTCAGCTTTTCAAACGAGTGACCAGACCACACCACGACCTTTGAGTCCAGCCCAACGGAGACCAGTATCGATGAGTCGAAGGACCATCCGAGATCCTGGACGTCATTGTCGTGGCCGATCAGTCGCCGAATCGTGCGCCAGTTTTCGACGGGAGGTGCTTCATCGGTGCCTAAGAGTTTTCCCATAGCTGTCAGTGTCTGCCTCCATTTCTCCATTTCTCCATATTCAGTGTGTCCAAAGCATACCAAATGTTGACGAGTGTGTTGGAGGGTTCGCGTCAAGGGTGTACACGCAGACAATCTTATCATCTGCGCCCGACGCCAGGTACTTCCCGTCGGGTGAAAAACGGACGGTATGAATCGTGCCCGAGTGGTTGCTCATGGACGCCAGTTGTTTTGGCTTGCCCTCGAGTTCGGGAGTTCCGGTGCCGTAAATAGCATCTGTTGACCAGATTCGCACGTATCCATCTAAATCAAATCAAAAGCCAGGATGTCAGCGAAGGTTCTCTCCACGGTGCACGATCTTTGCGACCTCCACCTCAAAGCGAAAAGGGTCAAGCTCACCTCCAGCAGCTGTGACCAGTCGCTTCCCATCTGGCGAAACATCGCAGCTGTACACCTCGAAATCCTTGCGTTCACCTGAACCAGAGCAATGACATTAGCAAATTTTGCCTTTTCATGGGATGGGTTGGTTCTGCTCTCATGAAGCACTGCGTCTCCCGACAGTGTCAAGCAACGAAAACCAGGGCGATCAAGCTCCGTACCACCGTGAGTGAGCCAAACCGGCTTTATGATATGCATTGCGCCAGTCCCAGACAGAGTCACGGTTATTCTCTTATTTCTTAAAGGTGTGAGTAGTTGTTTCTCGAGGTAAGGTCATGCGACACGTATCGACACCGATGTGCGCGCGGAGCGTGGGTAAGGAGGGGAGCGGCGCAGCGTGTGATCGAGCGGGTTTTCAATTATATGGGTATACCGTGGAACATGGCAGGACCAAGAGCCAAGCAAACGGTTCCTCACAAAATTCAAGAAATCCCTCCGAAAAAAATAAAGCTCAGGTCCAGATGAGAGATGAGACCGGAGGTTAGAAGGGCGCGAATCCAAAAGTCGCGATCTCCAGATTTGCCTGGTCCGAGCTCCCGCGCTGGTGGTCTTTTGACACTACAAGGCTTAAGGGCTAGCTATGTTGTAGCACTTATTGATTTTTTGAAGGGGGAAACACTATCATTTTGTATGTTCTATCCTACACATATATCTCTTTATGCTTGCTACATATGTAGTTTCATCAAACAAAGTGATACAAGGCATCAACCAGAAGTGTGACCACCTAATGTATACCTAGACAACCTTGTCTTTAAGAAATGATCATAGTAAAAATTGGAAATATCAAAGGTTCCTCGAGCACCACTATATGTAGCATATATTCTTTGAATTTAGTTACAGAGTTGCATGTTTAGGGTCTCGGTATCTTTGATCTTCTCTTAGTGAAGAAGAGGCGAAACATGTGGGTATCTCTATGATAACGAAGCCAGATAATACGGACTAAACCTTCCAGACAAAGGGACCTATTTGGAGTAGGTAATAGGGAACTAATGATTTTGTTTTTAATGATCAAAGATCCCCTCCAGGGCTACCTAGGTAGTAGATATGCTTACTACAACTACATCAACGCACATATCTATGAAAACAAAGATGTTTTTGCTTATTCGCATAACTTAAGCCTTCACGATACAAAGTCACTTGCAGACATCATAGCATTAATCTATTTCTTGCTGGATCCCCCGGATCCTCCCCAGGGGGGAGTGTAGGTCGAGCTTCCCGACCCGCTGTTGCAGTAGGAGCTTCCATTGGGATTGGAGTAGTAGTAGGAGCCATTGCTAGAGCAAACAGTTAGAATAAACTGTTTCAATTCGCTAAATATAGCTGACAGCTTCGTTCAAAGTAGGTGCTTACGTATTGGAGTAGTGGTAGCTGTTCGCTGTTCAAGTTAGACGCGCTGGAGCCGTAGTCGCGAGAGCAATAGTGGTTGCCCTAATTTGGCTTTTGTAAGCGTCATTTTGATTATGGTCTGATATTTCCCAAGGACAGGTGTCTTGTGTTCTTTGGGGCATAACGTGGAGAAGATGGGGGATCATACCTCGCTGTTGGTGCCGGAGCTGTCAACGGTGTATCCCTTTCCGGAACTAGACATTGTGGATGTTTCGTAGGCTATGATATTGCTTTTGGGATAAAGTGTAGAGGACAAAAAGAAGATTAAGAGAGGAAGAGGGGGGAAGTGGGTTAATATACCAGTGATATTGGTTAGGGTGGGCACGAATAGATAGTGAACCTTCATCGTTAGGTGCTGCGACTTCGGTAGTGATGACGTCGTTTTGTGCTTTATGGTGTTTTCTTTGGGCCTGGTATACTCAAAATATGTAAATGAAGTGTGATGGTTAACTACTGGCGCATTGAGGTTTGATAGAGGGCACAGATATAGCTCCCTCAAGCCACCTCCAAAATGAGTCCATGACGTCTCGACCGCCACTTGATTGATCTAACATACAAGAAGTTAGAAGCAGAAAAATGAGATATACACTGTATCGATCGGATTTGAAACTACAAGAGACATGTAGACTAAGCCAGCAGGCCATGCACGAGATAGGCCAGGAAATGCCAGCTTATTGACAACAAATGTTCTGTTAACGACATGTCTTATACTGGACATCTTCTTAGCTAGGATATTTAAATTATGAGCTGGAATGGACCGTTTTATCCATATATTCAATGCAATGGACTATTCACGACTATCTAAACCAAAGGCCATGTCCTCTTAAGAGAATCCTAATGAGCAGCATCTGTATATCTAACCTCCAAATAGATCGATAGACAACTAACTCCCTGGCGCCAAAAATTCGCTAAATCAGATAAAATCCAAACAACGCAATTTTTCTACTCACGACAATCCAAGACGAAAGCCAGGTCCTCGTGAGCCGCCTCCAATTGACCAGCAACTGTGTAGTTAATATCGCGATAGATAATGTTTGACTCTCTAAGGCATCTCAAAGACCTGACCAAACCAGGCAGAACCCTCGTACGGCAAAATTCTTGGAATTCACCAAGGAAATAGCCCGGCGTGCTAATTAGGACAGTTGGACACATCGGGGACTTTCTAGCCATAGTCTCGGCGAGCTGGCAAATGATCTCCAGCTGAACAATCAGATCATAGATAACTTGAATGGTTTCTGTGCGGCGATCTTCCAAAAGATGGAGCGAGTAAGCCTCCCTTGCTAAAGCTTCCTGGAAGAAGTCGCATTCACGCTCGAAATGCTGTTCGTAGGTCAGGTGGTTAGGTCTAGTAAGAGACATTGTTGCGGTGAAGGTACCACAGGGGTTGGATTCGATGGTCTGGAGATGTGAACACTTCGATCTAGGGCTTGTGGGCAGTGGTTGATAAATTGACTAGCGAAGCGTCAGTTTCAGGTGAGAAAAACTCGAGAAGGTGGAAAACCTCAGGCTTTTTATTGTCACTGGAGTTGAGATTGTCGTGTACAAATATATTTTCACAAAGAAGCACAAACCTCTTGAAACAGACGTCTTCATTCTTTGTCCGGAATCTGGGACAAGCAGTCTTACATGATTTATTCGTCTACATTGCCCACATTGCCTTTGTCCTTGCTCTCCTCCAGGCCTTTGTTGTCTTTGTTGCACGACCTTTTTTTGCTTCTTCTCATAGATGTCTATACTGGTCCTCACTATACCGACATATACTATATATAGCCAATCATTCCATCATTTAATCAGTATCCCAGCTCATCATTCGACGGCAGTTCAAGAGAACTCATCAAGACAATCCCAGTGTTTTCTCTATATCCTCACACTAACCCGAATCATCGACAGACAAGATACTGATAAGTCAGTATGGCACCTTCAGAGCAGTCGTGGGTTCCCCCCAGTCTTCCCCCAGGGATCCCAACCACCACTCCAGCCATACCTCCAGCCAGTTCGACCCCAGCACGGCGATACGGCAAGATCCAAGACGAAGGAGCTATACGACAACGATGGCTTGAAGACTCCACAGACACAACATGCCAAATCCAGTCCAGTACCCTGACCGTAGCCGACCTTATAAGCGCACGCTGGTACGTTCGTACCAACAAGCATAACATCCCATTTCAGGTTGCGGAGAATGCGTTTGCACTGGGATACGCCAACGAGGCGGTATACAACCAGACACTGACGCAAAATTATGCAGAGGGCGATCTCGGGCTTGCTGGCTGTGAGAACGTGTATGATATTCTAGTTGGAAAGGGACTTATCATAGCTGAGGGGATGTTCAGAAGTGATGGGCCTCAGTTTTCTGAGATTGCCCGAGCTCATTTGCAGGAGATTGCTGAGGCCCAGAGTCTGCGGCACTTCTATGTTTGTGATATTGTCAATGTCGATACTAGGAACTTCGTGCAGGAGGTTCTTTATTCATCGCGCAATGATCTCACTTGGCCTCCTGTCCGTGCAGCACCGCAGATCTGGCAGTATAACACCCCTGAGTACCAGGGTCTTCTGGGTACGCGTATTGGGAAGTGCGCGGTGTATCTAGTGCTGGAGGTCTTTCCCAGAGGTACATATTATATTTCTAGAATTGTGACCTGGGATCAAAGTTGCGCACTTGAGATCAGGTTTGATATTGAAGCTATTCCTGTATCTTCGGTTTCTCCTGCTTGATTCAGTTTGTTTTTAGGTGCGTTGTTCTCGCGTTCGGTTTGAACTAACTAGGACTTGCGCCCCTTACTGCTAAGAGCCGGTAACGATGTACTTGTCTTATTGACCTCTATCTCCACTGTAATTATCTGTAGTAAACTTAGTAGGTTGCATCTTGAAGAAGAGGCGTGGTAGATGTAGCAGACGTCACGACCAAAGGCACTGAGCTACAATTCCCGGGCAACGTAAAGATACTGATACTTGTACATTGAGGTATTCTCCTTCCTCGGGTTCCCTGATCAACAACAATTCGTTTATGTACACATACAGGAACACCAATTTGGCGAATTCGGTGCCACATGCACAGCGAAGCTCGTGCGTTTTTGAAAACTCCTAAAGAAATGCCGGGAGACGATGGGAAGACAATAGGCAGTAAGAGCGGGAAAGGTAAGATGTGGAAATGAAAAGTGCTGGGTAAATGTAAAGAGCCCAATTCAAGGAAATGTGGAAGAGAAGAGTGCGAAACAACCAGCATATACACCAAAGGAGCCGACTGAGTGGAGGTGCGGTAACAAAAGGTAAAGGTGTATAGGGAATTATAGTCGTCGTTCTCGTTTCGGTCGGTGAAGTATAGACGCTTATTTCTTGTGCTCGCCGGCGACCGTCTCAAATCCCTCCTCGGCAGTTTGCGAGGCGACGTCGGATTGTGTGTTCTGCTGAGTCTGTTCCTCAAAAAAGGTGGGCACCTGGCTCTCTTGCGGCGTTTCTGATGACTGAGAGGCGCCTTCGACTCCAAGAGTTTTCTTTGCCAGACCCCGGGCCTGCGTCTCGCTGACCTTGCCGTAGACAGCCATGGCGTTGGCAATCATACCACCCATGTCGCCGACATTACCAGGAACAACGACAGCGGTGCCCTCACGTGCCAGGTTCGACCAGGCCGCAACGTACTTCTCAGCAACACTGAGGCTAACAGCATTGTGAGCATTCTCTCCACCCTCCTCGATGGCCCGAGCAACAGCGTCAATGCCGAGCGCGGTAGCCTCGGCCTTGAGCTTTATCGCTTCGGCTTCACCAGACGCGTGATTAATCTTCTCAGAGCGCAGAGCCTCAGAAGCCAAAATAACAGACTGCTTGCGACCCTCGGCAATGTTGATCGCGCTCTGGCGCTGACCTTCAGACTCGAGGATTTCGGCTCGCTTGGAGCGCTCAGCAGTAACCTGGCGGTGCATAGCAGCAACGACTGCCTCAGGCGCGTGGATATCCCTAATCTCATATCGGAGACAGACGACACCCCATTCCTGGGCCGCCTCGTTGATAGCCTTGGTGATGTTTGTATTGAGATTGGCGCGTTCCTTAAGAACGTGATCGAGGGTCAACTGACCGATTTCGGACCGCATAGTCGTCTGTGCGAGTTGCGAAATAGCGTATTCTGCGTCCTCGACTCCGTAGCTACAATTGGCGAGCGATGTATTAGCGATTGCTTTGTTTAGACTGGTCCAACTCCACACGACAACCAAGAACCGCCATCAAATCACTCACCTTGCCTTGTACGCATCGAAAACGCGCGTATATAGCACACCGTCGAGCTCAAGGGTGACGTTATCCGCCGTAATGGCGTTCTGGCTAGGGATCTCAATAGCCGCCTCCTTTAAGCTCTTCACGTAGGCAATTCGGTCCAAGAACGGCACAAGAATCGCAAGGCCAGGTTCCAAGATACGGTCGAACTTTCCCATGCGCTCGACGATCCATGCTGTCTGTTGTGGCACGAATCGCACAACGGTGTTCGCGGGCAGTGTTTGTCGGTTGGTGAAATAGCTGGTGGGTCCCTCGTTGTATGAACCAGTTCTGAAGCTGTTGAGAAGAGACTCTGGGGCGAGAGGGTGAGGAGAATTTGACAGTGTCCGTCGTTGGACCTGGGTGAAGGGTGTGCCGCTGACTGCGGAGGTTCGTGTGAGGCGCTGGGGAAGGAGTTTCTGGCCACGAGGCCGGAGTAGCCTTGACGTTTGGCGGGATGCACCCTCCATCTTGATCAAGAGGTGTATTTAAATGTAAAGAGGTTTAAAGGAAAAGAATGACAGTGTGTTGGATGTGCAGAACAGAGCTAGAGAGGGGAAAGGGAGCTGTTAGAGCCGGATCGGGACTGAATTATCTCCGTTTGGTTGCAAGATCTGGATGCCTGAGGCAGGAACTATCAACCTCCATCAGACTCGACTTCCAAGGATGCTTTATATAGTTAGATTACCAGTATGTACATAGTTTAAGACACGTCTTACAATTGACATTCTCCTACTGAGCAAGT